TATATATATATATATATATATATATATATATATATATATATATATATATATATTGATGTTGGATAAAAGTTAATCCACCTAAAAACACATGTACAAGATACACAATTCAAAGTGCTTGGTGATCCTTCAAGAGAAAACCTAAAGATAGGATGAAGTAGAAGAGAGAACCAACTCTAATGTGTGATCTTGATGTATTGATAATATGAGAAGATGATAGATCTTAGGGGGGGAAATTTGGGTATAACAATCTTGAAAGAGAAACATCCTCTAACTCTCTTGATATAGTTGAGGTGTCATCTAACTCTGAGGAGGAAATCAAATCACATACTCACACTAATTTTTGTGAACCAGATCTTCCACTTAAAAAACCTAATCCATTACCTAATCTTGGTTCCCTTGTCAACTTCCATAATAACCTACCCCTCTCATTCTCTCATCCTGAATTTCAATTAGAAATAAGTCAAGTAAATCTTCCATCCATCACATCCTACAAATTACCTCCAACACCCTTTCACCCTGCCTTTTATCGAACTTCAAACAAGCCACCAACCCCATCTGAACTCTTCCAAAGTTTCAACAACTTTCCTTAATCTCTCTTGAAAATATCTTGAGAATCTCTTCTTCCAGCATGGATCCATTCAAAACTGAAGTCGGTTGAATTAACTTTAGACATGTAATGAATGTCAACTCTGACATCATGCAATCTGTCTGTTGCCAAGAGGCTAAAAATAAATATAAAGACCTGCTTGAATCCTTATCCTCACCCCCTTGTCTTAGAAGTTTTGCGCCCTTCTAATACCCCTAATACTATTTTAGTGACAGTTGAAAATCAATCCTCATGCTCCAGTGTAAAGCCCGCCATGGATGTCGAAAAGAAAATTTGTGGGATAAAGGAAACTTGGGGAAGATGCAGAATTCTAATAGGATTGTTCAAGAGCGTCTATTTTTATGATTTTTCTCACTATTTGATTTGTTTTAATTGATTAAAAATATTTTTAGATTATTTAAAATTCTGAATAAATTATGGAATTATCCAATGATAGTTTGACAACTTATGGTGACCTTGTTTGATTTTTATTTTCGATTTTACTATTTTTAATGATTTTTGGTTTATTTCACTTGATTTTTTATTTTTAAAAATTAGTTTCTGACTTTTAAAAATGATGAAAAAATTTGTGAATATACTTTGAGATATTTATGATTTTTCTATGCCTCTGATTGCAATTTGTTTGAAGGTTTGAATGTAGTTTGATATTTTCCCTTTTATTTTCATTTAAAAAACATTTTAAAATCCATTTTCTCATATTTTTTGTTTTTATGTATAATTTTATTTTTATATATATTCTGGCTGATCTTGGATCATATGGATTTTAGTCATAAGTTTCATTAACATCATTGGATTTTGGGTGTTGAGTTTAAACGCCACCAAAATGGATGAATGATTTTAATGATTGCTTGATTAATCCTTTGATTCAAATGTGGGATTTAATTTCTTGTTTATCTCTTCTTCATCCCCTTTCTTTTATTTTCTTTTTGATCAATTTGGATAAGATATTTGAACTTTAAGTTTATCGAAGGTTATGGGTAGTTGAATAACTATCTTCCATGACCTAGGTCTTAATCACCTTTTGTTTTACTTGTGCTACATGTTTTAGAAGTATGGTTTCTACCATATCTCTAACATGTATGATACATATATTGCTATTGATCAACCTCATAATAGGTGTAACTTCTACATAAGTCCATTTACGACTGCTACATAGCGCTAAATTTGTCCTGAATCAGAAAATGGTCATTTGTGGCTCAGACTATATGTTTGAATGCCTATGTATGGTTGATTGATTATCCTTAGTCCAATACCTATGAAGCTTGTTGTTAGGAGGCTTTGATTTTATCAATCCTCTAATGAGTTCTCATTATTCTTGGTCTAAGATCATCATTGATCATACTTTGTGACAAATTAACAATTAACTTACTAACTATTAACAATTAACTTTTACTTTATGCCCTTTATATTATGATTTTACTTTTATGCACCTTTATCTTTAGCATTTACATTACATGATATTTTCTTTTCTCACTTGAGCATTTATTTCTTTATGTCATTTTTATCTTTGCTCACTTGAGCTTTCTTTTTCTTTTGAAGACACTTAATAATCAACTTGAACAAATAAAAGACTTAAGGCTCTTTGGACTATTGGTTACTATCCTTGGCATAATAGAGATTTGGGCCTATTAGACTTAGGATTAAAAGCCTTGATACCTTGAGCCTTGGGACCTTTGGATCTTGTTTTACATTGTTGTTATTTTGTTTGTCTATTGGGAAATTTTTTGTCTGCAGGAGTTATTATTTTGATCTTAAGAGATTCATCTGATACATGGGCTAATAATGAAGATCTTTCTTTGGCTTTGGTTCTTTGGTTTGAGATTATTGATTCATTTGATGCTTGGTATTCATCTGAGTATTATACTTGCTTGTGGATTTCATCCAAAGGATGAGAATACTATATTGACTTCATTATGTCAAATGTTGGATACTTGTTTGGTTAGACCTTTCCTACCTTAGATTTTATTTTGTGCTTTAGGATAGTCTCTTCATATATTGCCCATCTTATTTAATTTAAAAATCTTCTCCCTCCTTTTCAAAATTCTTCTTGTTTTCAAACTTAAACCACTTTCATAATAAACTTGGACTTAAGTCCATGCATTTTAAAACTCCTTTTCTTAATAAAAACCTTAATACATTTAATCATACCTTGACATCTTTTAAAAGACTAAAACACATTAACCTCATTCAAACTTTTTGTGCCTTGGTGCACTTTTTCTTTTAACCTTTTAAAAAAGTTTAAGATATTAGTCTTTTCTTTGAGTGTTTGTAAATCTTACCACTTTAACAAACATTGTAATATTGAAGTAACTTTTCACTTATATGTTGAGACTTTCACTGTTGAGTTGGTCCAGGCTATAAGTTCTCCATATTAAAGATGAAGAAAGTTCTCTTTTTACCATGATTTCCATAGTTTATTGGTTTTCCACTCAGATAAGACGAAATGTCTTTTACATTAGAACCAATAATAACAACCCATTTTGGTCTTTTTTACCTGAACTACATGGGTTTTGATTTCAACATTGCACATTGTTGGTATGTAGTCCTAGTGTTCATTGGAAACTTTGTCAAATCAAAAATTGTAAAAATCATTTCTTTTCTCATCTCCAGAATCTTTTTTTTTTGTAAATATTTCTTTTAGCCAAATACACGGCTTTTCAAAGAGGTTCTTACGGAGTACAATATATGTTTAGGGTGTTAATACCTTCCATTTGCATAACCAACCCCCTTACCTTGTTCTTTATTTTATCTTGGGTTTTATTCTCTCTTTTCCCATTCTTTTGGAACAATAAAATGTAGTGTCGACTTTCACTTTGTGAGTTAAGTCAATCAATGGCTTAGTCTCAACTTTTTACCACTACACCATATAAGTTCAAGATTCAAGGTGAGTATGATAAAAGTGGAGATCAAATATTGTATCTTGCTCATAGCATGTAAACTGTTTTATACTTTGGATCGAGTAAAGTGGATTTGAGATGGATTGAGCCTTTGTCCAGTCCAGAACATAAACTATCCTTGAGCAAAATTAATTGTCTAATCAATTGAGTTCTCATTCCAATCGATTGGATGAACTAAGTAATCAATTATTTTTTCCCATTTTGAAAAGATTTGATAGAGATCTATTACCCTTTATTAAGATACTGTCATAATCGATTTGGACTCATTTTTCCTATATCCAATTGATCAAGTATACGGTCCAATTGATTGGATAGTTCAAAGACCATGTCTTAATCATTCTGATAATTTACAATTTATCTGGCTGTATTCCAAAACTTATTTAGTTTATTTATTTGAGAAGTAGAGGCTTTAAAATGAGTTTTAGTGAGTGTGTGATTTGGCCATATTACTTTACGAAAAAATACCTTCTATTTTTACAAAACTCTTGTCACTCAAACATGATCAGGCGAGCTTTCACACTTCCTCTCTTTCATACTATGAAGCTTCATGTCTTTTCCCGAATACACCAATCACATAATAAATTTATTTAAATCTTCTTGGATATGAGACTTGAGATATCTTCAATTCAGTTACCGTCATTAGAAGTTATCATGGTGATCATTAAACTCTTACTCTTTAGCTTTATTTGGAGGAAGAGTTTGATCAAACTATCTTATGCATCTTTGACCGTTTAAATGTACTTTTAAAACTTTCATGTATTTATGATTAAAGTCAAGTTGCATCTCTATGAGTTGTCATAACACTAACGTTAGATCTTTATGAATTGTCATCATCAAAACCATGTCAGGTCTAGGCATGTTTTGCTTAGCTTTGATGACTTTCTAATTAAACTTGCAAGCACATAGTTTCATAGTAATTTGAGATTTCACCATTTTATATTGGATTATTTGAAACTTTCAACCAGTTCCTTTATTTGCCCTCAACAAATTAAACTTCCTTATTTACGTCTTCTTATTCTCAATCGGTGAAAATATACCATACTTATTTTAAAAAAATTAGAGAAGCTTGAATCAAACAATGAATTTCATAAAACAAGTATTTGATTAAAAAATTAAACAAAGTAATATATCTCAAGTAAGATAACTGAAGAGTTACATAATTTGATTCTTCATCTTACTACGATCCTTGCAATTTAGCTTTAAAATTATGTTTCCTTTGAAAATAGTTCAAAATTTATTGAGAAAATTTGATTCTTAATTTACGAAATCCTATGCAAATGTTCGGACAAATGAAAAAGGCATATATTTACTTAATAATTAAGTCTATTATATTAGTAAAAAAGATATAAATTTATTTCATTCATGAAACAAGTAACATAAAGGTACAAAAGAAAATAAATCAAAACAACAAAATATAAATTAAATGATAAAGTGACCATGAAAACATGATGTCACAATATATGCGTAATGTATTTTTATTAGGTAGACACAAAATCTTAAAGTTTGAGATTCAAGTCGAGTTCCTCCAATATTGATTTTGTTGATGATGAAGACACATTGGGTTCTACTAGAAGTTGGTTTTCTCCAATAAAATCATGAGTTTTTATTGGAAGATCACACGAAGGAAATCGAGCATTGGAATTTCCTTCCACATCCTCACTAAATGAAGGAGTTTGATTAGCTTGAACAAAAAGTCCCAATTCCATAGTATTTGACCTTTGAGGAATTGGCAGTGGAAGAGTTTGATTTTCGCTCAAAAAATTAGTCATACCAAATTGTTGTGATGTGAGGGGTGACTTTGGCATTGACATCAAAAATGAAGTTGGTGCGGAAGGTGTATTTGGCATATACATCCCTCCATAACCATCAGATGGAGAACCAAACCAAGAAGGCATAATATTATTCATATGAGTGTCAATTGGTTGCTGCAAATTACCACAAAAATAAGGATATCCTTGATAGTGAATAGCACGTGAATAAGGATAATGGTATGGAAAACTAGGTCTATACCTTAAGATTGAATCCATTTCTTCCTCCCTTCTTTTTTGTTCAATTTTTTTGGAGAGACGTTCATGCTTATGAGCGTTTTGGTGTCCTCCAAACGCTTGAGAAGTTGAAAACTTCTTGTTACAAAAAAGACAAGGAAATTTCTTCACTTCTTGCTCAGGTAAAACTTCAGCAATAACATTTTGAGACGAACCTGAATGTTCACTGTTCTCTAATAGAATGGTGGTTGGCCTGCTATTATTACCAAATCTTAGAGTCAATAGATCTTTAGATTCAGCGGATGGTGTTATTATCTTGAGTTCTTTATGCACTTTTGTCTCCCTCTCTTCTGCCCTTTTGCCCTTCTCAAAATCAACTTCAGAGAATAGTGTTATATTTTTTGATTCCTTCCTCGATTTTGAGTTCGATTCTTCAATCATTTTGCGTTTTAAGATTTTGTCCTCAACATTTCCGATGAAAATTCTTTCAGACATTTTTTTCAAAAACACAAAATAAAAGATTTAGAACTTTTTTTAGAGAGAAAACAACTTGTGTGGATTGATAATTGCTAATGAGGAGTATTTATCATGGACAAAATACCTTTGAATGCTTATAGAAGGAAAAAAAGATGGTAGGATAAACTTATTATGCGGTCAACAAGAAAGAGAGTTTTTAAGGAAAATACACTATTAATTAGGGTCAAGTTTGAGCAATACCATAACTTGAGTTTTTTTTTTTTTTTTTAATTTTGAAAATTGGTATATATTTATTTTAAATCCATAGACTCAATAACAAATACCATTACAAATTTATACATTAGACTTAAATATTTTATAATTTAAATTTAATGAATATTATATTATTGAAAAATTATTGTCAAAATTAATATACTTTTTTTGCATTCATTAATTATATTGGTCTACTCACCCGTAGTTTCCAAATCAAGATTTATAAGAGAATCATCTATTATAAAACTTTAGAAACTACATTACCACCAAAAATACACAACTATCCTTTCAATCTAACTTTTACATCATGACACATATATAATTTTTAGGATATTTTTGTCATTTAATTTTCTACTGCTTTTGTTTTTATTTTTCGTATTCTAATTTAACTTTTATATATAATAGTATATGGTTTTTAATTAGGATATTGTTGTTATTTAATTTTCTGCAACTTTTACTTTTTATATAAAATAAAATTTTATCAATTATTTTTATCAACTTATATTTTTAATCATTATGCTATAATTCTCACAGTTTTTTTCAAATGAATCATTGAAGATTATTGAAAAATACAATTAATGTATAAAATAATATTTTATTCAGTTAAAATAGTTTTATTTTTATATATCTATTAAATAAAAATTATAATAAATAAAATTTATTAATTAAAATTTATTATGAAGATCATTCACGGAACTAATATATGACAGTCAAAATATTAACAAATTAATATTTTTTTAATATATTAAAAATAAAGATAACAACTTTATGCTACATCAATTATATTTATTTTTACTGATAAAAAATTATAGACAAAATAATTATTTATCATTTATCAACTAATTAATTTAAATTTATAAGAAAAATTAGACACAACAAATACTTCAAAATATTAATTTGAATTTTTTAAAAAATATTTTTCCCAGATATATGTTTTGTGTAAATAAAAACATTTACACATTGACAGTTATAAATGTCCTATAATATTTACAAGAAATACACGGAATAACTATTTGTTGCTAATTAATACAATTTTTATTTATTTAAATAAAATTGAGAAAAATTATAATGTATTCATGAGTAAGATTTACATAGGATACAAATAACAGCTATTTGTTAAACTTATATTTTTAATTATTATTTTATAATTTTCACGTTATTTTTTTTCAAATGAATCATTAAAGATTATTGAAAGATATAAATTGATCGGTTGAATAGGGAATTAGAGGGATCATTATTCTGATTTGATTGTTAGATTGGATAAATTATTGAATCAATAAAATCTAGTTAGAATCGGTCAAAATCGATTAAATTCAACAAAATAGAATCTTTAAAAAATTGACGGGTTAAATACTTGTTTTTTTTATCATATAAAACAACATCGTTTTAATAATTTTTTTTAAAAAATAAAATAAAATAAAAGTAGATTATGTTTAAAACATATTTTGAAACAATTTTCTTTCATTGAAATTAAATTTATTAGACACAACAATTATTTTATTCTATTTATATTGTAATTAAATTTTGTTCAAAATTTATATAATTTATATTTTGTACTATTTAGTTGTGTGTGATCATTGTATTTTAAATTTGAATTTAAATAATGATTTGTGAAATTATAAATTTTTTAAATTTTATAGATGTTATAATTTTTTAAAGATTTAATCAATCTGTTTTATCGATTTAACAAGTTTATAATTTTATTATAAAGACTAATTTATTCGATCGAGTTATCTGATTTTATCAGATTTAATCATACACTTTGATTAATGACTCACCAATAAATCAATAATTTAGTATCCTCGTCGATTTAATGTCCATATCTCTTTTTAAAATATTGTTTTTAGTACATCACTTTTTTGTTTTTATATTATTTTTTCCAAATATCAAATTAATCTTAGCCATAATTTTAAAAATACATAATTAAATCAATATTTAATTAAAAAAATACACATAAAAAATATTTACCACTAAAAACTTAATTATTTTTTATATCACCATAATAAAAGTAAAAATAATCACAGTTAACATTTCATATTTCAATTTTATCACATATTTCAATTTTATCACATTATTATTCAAAAAAAAAAGTCACTAATAAAAGTTTTGACATGTATAGTTTTTATACGGAATAAATATTTGTCACTAATTATTATCTAAATTTTTTTATTTAATTTTTTGAATTTAAAAGTGATAATATTTATATATAAAATCTAAATCAATTAAAAATATCCATATTTTTAGTCTGAATATTTTATTTTAACTTCAAGTGTAACATATTATCTTTTTGTCCACAGACCAAAATAAAATACTTATAATATATTAATTATAATTTATGATAACAATTGTTAAATGATTAGTTTTTTTTAATATTAACAATTTAAAAATAAAAACAATTATGTTATACTAATTTATTAATTTTTCAATTTTTTAAAAAATAAATAAATTATTAAACTATTGAATCAATAAACAATTCCTACACATGACAAATACTTTTTATTAATTAATTAGTTAATCATAATATTCTTTATGATATTTAATTTTAATTACAATTAAACAAATAATTTTTTTAATCAATTAAATATATTATTTTTTTTAAACTATTAGTTAAATCAATTAAATAAATAATAACAAGCACGGGTATTTGCTAGTTATTATTATAAGAGTAAATGAAGCAGTGATAGTTTTACACATATGAATTTATTGATTCTACTTTTGAATTTTTAAGTTTTTTTTTTTTGGATTGTGATCTATCTTTTTATTTTTCACATGTTCTAGAACGAGTTTGTTAGTCAATTCAGTCATACATTTTCTGTCAAAAAAAGTAAATTATTATATAATATTATTAATGTACTCCTAAATTAAATATGAATTAGAATGCTACAATTTTAATTATCTTTTAATGTACTCTCAAATATGAATATCCCTTAGAAAACTGAGTGCGTTGAATATGAATATTTTATTTGTATAAACACTATAATATTAATAAGGTCTCATCTCCTAAAATTATTTTATTTTATTACTAAAAATTTAATTTGACTTTCTATATGAGAAAGTTGACTTCAATTGAAATTCAAATTGAACTAATTAAGAAAAAACTTGTAATTTAAGTTAATTTAAAGTTTAAAATAGATATATTCTTCTATCAATTTAAACAATTTTATTTTAAAATATTTCTTGAATTGACCAAATTTTTATTTGTTTATCTATTACTTTAAATAAAAAAATGATGACACCACAATTAACATTATGTTATTTTTATTTAAGTTTAAATAATAATTCTCAAATATAAAGAATAATAAAAGTAATTTAGCAAATGTGGAGAAGGAGATAATGATAGAGTAATAAATAGATTAAGAGTCTGATCCTTATTAAGACTTACAATATTAAAACTAACAATACAAAATGTTGTCTGTGCTAAAAATATTATTAAAATATAAATTAAAATGAAGGTTTATGAATTTATTAAAAAGAGAATAAGAAAAGACTTCAACGAGAAGATCATCACTAATACTTAGAAGTATTAACATCAAGTAGAATAAATGAATGATTATCAATGGAGGCATGTTAGAAGGAAGAAGAGAAACTCTAAGAAGATCAATCTCTGGGATAACAAGGGCACAAAACAAGATAGGGGACTCGGTGCAATTATCACGACCTTTTTCTTCACTTCGATCCCAAATGAATATAGAGCTTAGGAATTGTATGGGGTGTCTAAGGAATTCGAAGAAATTGATAAGGCAGACATTCAAAGAGAGATATATGGGGACGACGTTATGGCTTTTTCAGATTCTTCAATGTTAAGAATGTAATGCTTTTAGCAACCAAGTTAGACAACATCTTCATTGGAAAACATAAATTATTTGTGAACTTACCAAAGTTTCAAAGGAATCAGGGGGTGGAACCTTCATGAAATAAGGTTTGACTAGGGAAGAAAATATCGGTAAAACCAATCAACAGAAATCTTTCAAGAACAACAACAATCAAGACAAGGCCATTTCACATCAAGGATACTAGGTCATTTCACTATCGGGTCAAGAAAGTTTCCTTGTGCACCTTTGGAGTTTCACACATGTGATAAATAAGAGTTACACAGGTTCAACAAAGAATATGTGGGGGTTATGGAGAATTGATGCATGACCTGTAACATTCAAAACATCTTTAATACAGAAGGTTGCTTTGCAATCGAAGTGACTCAGTTGGAAGAAAATATTTGTCTTCTAGAAGAAAGGAGGAGGGTGTGAATGCATTTACCTATTAGATAGATGTTTTACATGGTGTCAAAACTGGGATATATTTAGCTTTTATGTATATTGAATGGTATCTCTGAGTCACAATGTACAATCTTGCATTATGGATTTTAGAATGCATCTATAACATGTTTGAAAATGTTTGAAAAGGTTGTCAATAGTTATCATGCACTAAGAATAAATATTTGCATTAAAATGAGTTGCATGTGTCGATACATCCTTTCTACGTGTCGACACATGTGGTCCAATAATAAAGCTTGTAGGCTCTGTAACTATGTGTCGACACATTGTTCATTTCAGGTCGACACATGCCATTATAAAACCTTGGATGTGTCGACACATACGTGTTCCGTGTCGACACATGCGATGTTGTGTTATAGCCTTAAGTTTTTGTAATTTCGTGTCGACACAATGATCTCTTATAGGTTGACACATGTCAATACATGTGTCGACACATAACTTACATGTGTTGACACATGTGTCAGAGTTTCTGAAAAATTGTTTTCCTTTTCAAAC